CCATTTAAGAACCATAAGGTTTTCCTTTACCAAATAGTTAAAAAATACAGCTTCTCTCATTGAGCACAACGAAAACTCTCCACAACAGGTGTATTCACAGTGTCCCATCAAGAAGGGAACCGGTATTGAGCAGTGTTTCAAGATCACCACGATGTGCAGAGGTGATGAACAGAACGTGTTCACGTAAGCTTGTCAAATTCATCTAATATGATAAGTCATCTGCACATCTGCATGTATAGATGCTAATCCTTATGCACTCGAGACTTCACCTTCTCCCTCTAGTTTACTTTCAACTTTTTTTTCTCATCGATTTAGGAACTTCTGTTCCTACTCCTGGTACGCAGCGGGATACTTTGATGCAATTCTTGGTGAATTTGAAAAACTGCTCAATTCTGCTCCCCTTCTTTATGCGACAAAGCGACTACACCGGTTGTGGTGAGTTTTCCTTCATTCGTTACGCTCACTGTGAGAAGCTGTTTTTTTCGACCAGTTCCGTGGAGGAAACATCAGTGTTCTTTAACAGCTATAACTTGACTTCATGTACCATCTAGAGACCGTTTAATTTTGCAATAAATTTCTTGGATAAAAGCACAACTGCAGAAATGCTGACCTTTAACACTTTCTGAGATGCGGATGAGAACAACCTTGACAAAGTAACAGTACAAACGTACTTCCAAGGACTCAGTGTTCCGAACAAATGCAAAACCGATAATGGCAAGGACTCAAACACTAGCCTCGCATCTGTGAAACAACTTTTTCTATCCACTACACCACGGGCCACACTTCTGATTTTCAAACATTACTTGAACGAGCACAGAGGGAGACTGGCGGGTACCATGCTTGAAGTCTCCCGTAGCTCCTCTTGGAGAGTCGTTCCGCAAATTCTTTCTGCAGATTTGAGCCCTATGACGCATGTGCCTCTCATCCTGAGCCAATAGTGGCCATAGCAACCTTTGACCTTCTCTGTTGAGATCAGAATCATATAACGTTAGAGGCATCACGAAAATGAATGCAAATGTAGTTGTAGAAGGCAAATTGATCGCTAGTGGAAAAAACAGGTACAACAAAACTCTTTATCGAGGTTTCGGATTCAGAACGTTGTATCATAGGATTATATGCTCAAAGCCTGCATCGGGCGTGCACGTCAATGTATGAGAGTGTACCGTGCCTTGGCCTCCAAAAGGTACCTGGAACAAGATCACCAAACATTGACAGGTAGCAATGCAGGTCTTCAAAAAAAATTACGAAAAGAGAGCTGAAAGAGCAGTAAGGCGAGGTCTTCAACTTCTCTGTCCGTGTAACCTCGACATTGCTGTAGGTTGATGTTCTACTGCTGAGCCAAGGAGGTTTGTAGGTGGGATTTTATTAACGGTCTATGTTTCATCGAGTCTAACGTAACTCAAAATTTTTGATTTGCCCTCCACATCGAACGCCTCGTCGCCCTAGGGTTTCCGACGGCACTTCGAGAAACAACCAAAACCCTTCGCTAGATGTTAGTTCAGTAAGTGAGACACGCTGCCGTCCTTGTTAGTAGCTTTTTAGGGTGTTGCACGTCTCAGTTTAACATTAGTAGCTCGCCACAGTGTGGTGAAAAATGGTTAAGAATCACTTTTATATGATAATACTCATGTCTGGTTTGTTTCTTCTGAGGATCTTCCGGAAATCTGATAGGAATGCCTCATATCGCTTTCCTAGCGAATTATCCGGTCTATTGGGTAGCGTAGGCTTACGATCTCTTCACTTCGCATTCAAATTCAGCGTTTTGTGTTACTATTTTTATTAATTGCTGATGAAAAACTCACTACTCTTTGAGTCCAGTTAGTAATCCTGAACGATTCTTTGCGCTATCTGTTGGTTATAAATGCCGATGTTACCCACTTTTTGATTGATTGACTCCCCTTTTTCCGGAGGTTTTTTCAAGCATGTCAGGCACATTTCGGACGATTTGCTTCTTCACTACAAATTGGTAACGAGGAATTTAAGGGTCTAGGCGGAAGGAGGAGGAAGATTCATGAGGCTCGTTTAGCTGCTCTGGAGCTAACACGGGGTTTTTTGAAGTCGTGCTGAATTTAAGAATGCACAATTTATGGCGGTTTGTTGCCGTGACCTACACCGGCAACGGAATGTGATGCCGTGCCTTCGCTGATGCAATGTGAGTTTCTTAGTGCGCCCGGTCACGATTCGGCAATATTTCTTATTCCCGCGCCGAGGCATTTGAGCATACGTAGCTTGTTATATAGTTTATTTTTCTCGTTCACGGACGTGGGTAAAGGGGGGGGTGTACTTGAGTATTGTTGGGAGGGGGGTGGTTCGTGCTTTCACTGTTGAGCGTTGTATAGTGTGGTTGGTTGACTTTTCGTTGTATTTCATTATTTCATGTGTACTATACGCCCCCCCGATGTCGGGCTTCCCCTCCCCCTCCCGCTCGATTGGCTTGATTCTATGAGGACGCAACAGGGCGTGAGGGGGGAAAGGGGTCGTAAACCCCCGCCCCCAAAAAAATGGGGGGGGGACAGACTTGACCCAAATCCCCAACCAATGATGTGCCCTGTTGTGGCCTGGACGAGAGCCGACTGGGCCGTGCGGATAGCAAGCGAGCTGCTTACCACTGTACCATCTCTGACACTCCGCCGGGACCCAAAAGGCCGTATAAGGTGAGGCTCCGTTTATACTTTGGGGCGGCGGTCAACAGCCTTCCGAGCGTCCATCAGCGTCAGAGACCAAGAAAGTATAGATATCTATCTAGCATTCACCAACGCCCATCAGCGTCCACCAGCGACCATCAGCGTCTCGAGGGGCTAAGAAAATGTGGATAGATCTAGCGTCTAGCAGCTTCACCAGCGACCACCAGCGTCTACGAGGAACAGTATTGTGCAGTAGGACGGTGCGGTTGTACACGCCGCACCGAATTAACGACGCCTGATCCAGCAATTTTCTCCTTACTTCTGATACCCCATACTCCACCAGCAGTCTGATACCCTCCTACTTCCCCATACTCTCTACTCCTGGTCGCTGACGGACGCTGATGGACGCTTGTAGACGCTAGACCCATGGCAGTACTTTCCTGGTCGCTGACGCTGACGGACGCTCGAAACGCTGATGCTCGCTGTGGACACTGCCGCAGAGCATCAACACAATCTGAGGATCTTATACAATCGTCTGTAGCTGAAGAAAGTAAGCGACCGAGAATTTCAGATTTCCCTGATAACATTTTCGTCATACGAGGGAATCACGAAGAAGAAAGCTTGAATAAGCTGTACTCGTTCGCCACGGAAGTTCACGCTAAGTTTGATGGTAGGCTACCTTTCAAAGCTAGCTTAGTCCATCAACGCGATATATTTGTTTTCAGCTAAGTCAATTGATGCACCACAGCGAGGGATCCTATGTACGATCATTTCAAAAATTCTTCATGAACCTTCCGCTTGCATGTTTAGTTGGACGTGATATTCTTGCAGTGCATGGAGGCATTAGTCCAAAACTACGGTCACTGCAGGTATGTTACTCCGAAGGACCGCAATTACCTATGAAAATGTGAGATATTGCGTGGGAAAGGTAGCGCTGGCCGCAACGAACAACCTTGTACTAGTTTCGCTGCGGAAACATGTGTGGTAGATTCGCCGAGCAGCAACGGTGCTTCAGTAAATCCGGCTTTTTTTCAGTGACTCCGCCTCCAGAACCGGTCTTTGGCGTCCACCTTTAGGAGAAAACGATAGTATTGGATGAGAAGCATGAAATTGAGGCCTTGCTGTCGCTTGGGCAGTCGTAGGTTTCATTACCACGAATCAGCCGGCTCGACTCCTCCCGACAAGGTCTGTGCTGCGCTCAAAGCTGGAAGGGTATCATTAGAGGAGTTTACGACGTTCTTCCCGGATTTCCCTTCAGTGACGAGTCTCCCGAACCTCTATTCCATCTTTCTAAACGCCACCCCACGCTCCCTATCGTGGACCGGAGGCTTTTTCGTTCAGTTTGTAATTCATACCATATATCCAGGATATACGTGAGATTGCACGCCCCATTGATGAGTTTATGAAAGGAACTCTAGCATGCGATTTGGATTGGTCTCATCCAGACACGCTGAATAAAGTGGCTGAGTTTGAACAGAACTTCGAGAGGTACTACTTTTATTTCGCATTGACTGCGTGACTAGCCATGTCTTTTCGGCCTTGCATTGTATTAATTTATCCATTATCTGGCTCAGGAATCGAGTTATTGGCAAAGCCCGCGCTGGGTGGTAACACTTGGATCACTGTAGTATCCTCATTAGTGGGCTCCTCTCTGCCTTTTGTAAAAGGGCTCCATAGGTGAAGACGGCACTTGTCAAGTGACTTTGCCCGCACGATCAGCGCGGAATGTCACTTCAAAGGCAAAGGTCATGATGGCTGGGGTGAGCGCTTCCAACTTTGTCGGTGGGAAGGTTGAGTGCGGTGTTTATACGCTTTCTCGCAGCCAATGTTGGCAGGAAGCGTCCCTCTGCAGCCATCATGCACACTGCCTTTGAGGGAGTACAACCCGGGAATACTCCTCATTTCAGAGAAGCAACCGTAGGCATAGGTCAGCTGTTTTCCCAGTCGGCAGTGAAAGATGCATGTAGGAGACTGAAAGTGAAGATGATCATCCGTGGACATCAGGTGGGCAACAGGCTAATCTACAGTATCTCTAGGTTCCTCAGAATAGGGTGCTGTTTAGCAAGGACAAGCTTCATAAGTTGTGGGTCAGATGTCACGTGTGTTAACCTTTTCACTATCGTAGTTGTTATCACTGAAGTCAGTCGGGGCGTGTCAGCGACAGCTGGCTTGGTGCAGTGCCAGCCCCATTTCTGCCACTCAGCATACCCCGAAGCCGCAATGTTTGATGGAAAACGAGCTCTCGTCCAAAAAAACAAACGAGCATGCATTGAAGTGCCT